ATACATGCAAAGCATGAAAAGCTTTACAACGTTGCAGGAATATTTAACAGTTATTCAAGAAAAAAAAAAAAGAAGCGTAGAATATTAACGAACCTTGGCAACACTTTAAAGTTTTTTTAGGCCTCATCTACTTTGCTACGAAGAGTTGATCCCAACTGATTATTTATTGATCCTGAAACTATGGGTTCTTTATTCTTTGTATATAAAGTATCAGTTGTGATTAAGAATTATGAAAGGACAAAAAACTTCAGCCCAAAAGCGTGATTGTAAGCCAATCATCGCTAAAGAGAACATTCTAGAATCAATTTCCATTTTTGGTAAAATCCCTGACTGTATTATAAACGATTTAGAAACATTTAATAAGAGTTTATTTATAGTCCACTAAACTGAATATTTTATTTTATGTAAAATTTTTATATTTAATAAAACTTATAACTACATTTTAAATAAAAATAAAGTAAAAATTTCTAAACCGTAAGGTTAATAAATTCCTCTAATGTAGCTTGTCTCCTATTTTTATTACGTAAATGGATGATATACCTTTTAAGGTTATATAAATCTTTCATTAAAGATGAAGTAATTTCCAAATCATTTTGCTGAATATATTGTATCAACTTTTCAAGTCCTACAATTGCATCTCCAATTTTAACTATTTCTTTCTGTTCTTTTTCTGATTTGCTCTCCTCTTGTCCATTTACTACATCAATAATATCATCTATAGTTAAGTCTTCTTCGATATTCATATATTGATCAATCTCTATATATTCATGTACATTTAAAGGATCGCTAATTGGTAAACGTTCAATAAGATTTATAATTTCTTCTTCCAATTCGGTTTCTTCAAGCTCAGAGGTTTTCAACCCTTTTCTTCAGGCTCAGAGGTTTCCAATCCAGTTTCTTCAGGCACAGAGATAAAATTGTCATTCTAATTTTCTGCAAATAAAAGTATACCGGCTCTACTCCAGCTGCGAATAATTGTACCTACAGTAACGTTTTTCCATGCTTGAGCTACAAAGGTGATTGTATCATATAATGTAATATCAGGTGGAACTGGATTGTCTTCAGTAATAGCATCATAAGCTTCAAGATGGTTTTGACACAAAATATGCCAATATTGTGCCT